AAAAAAATCATATGCAACCTGAAATCTTCAACCCCTAAAATCTGAAAAAAGACATTAAAATTCAAACAAAACCCTAATAAACAAAAATCATCTAATGCAATTTTAACCCAACTACCCAGGTCTACAAAGATCTCTTGTACGACGCAACCCATGGTTCCTGACAGGAATCTTCTAGTTGAAGAAAGTTCGACCACCTCTAAGACTAACTAGATCAGAGAACCTGACAACCCTGGGATGATGGAAAGCCATGGGCATCTTAACCAGGTTGTCTCAAATAAAAATATGAACAAACAACTAAATCCCCAAACCAAAAACATATATTTTGTGCTTTTTGTTTTGTAGGGCTATTGAAGATAAAAGACAGACGTCACCATAGATTTACTTTGCATGTTATTAGGATGTGCTAACTCTATTTTGCAGGGACAGACATTCAAAACTCAAAGCAGAGGATGAACCTCAACTAAACTATTGACAACAACACAGAATCATAAGATAGTCTGAGAGCTAGATAAGGGGTTTTCCAAAACCTTAAGCTTCCTCTACTTTAGGATAGGACCTTGAAATTTCTTTCCTTGACAACGTGTGGTCACCATAATGAGATGTTGAGATGCCATATCAAAATCATGTAACTCCTCACTGAGGAGATCTTCCTCTTCTAGGAGCTCCTAAGTGATATCAAGGAGATCTCTGAACAGGTCATCCTTAAGATTGATCTTAGGTTGTTCCTTAGGGTTAACCCAAGGAAGCCCCAAAATGCAGTCAATTAGGGGGATAACTTTCTTTGAGATCAAATCCGTAGTACCAAAAGTCAGAATTGGAACCATAAGAGGTGTAGTGGTGGGAGTCTCCGGACCCACTTCCTCTTGGGCAGGTTTGGACGGTAATCCTTTCTTATATATTTATTTTAAAAGAAGTATGATGAGTATCTATGGGGGTGTGCCTCGGATCCCGCTCGCTCATCAACAGAAACATGTATCTTATCTCTTCTCAAAGAAGACGAGTAATAAGCCAAATGATTTTCTTCTTATTATTCTTGAAAGGTGTGGTTACAATAGGTGGTACAAATAGAGTCGCGATAAGAACACTAGTAATATGAATAGAAATATGATCTCACACATCAACTTCAAGCAATGCACTCAGAGCCTCTTGTGACTCCTAGGAGGGCTCTACAACCCGCATGATTGATGGTAAGTACCCTATACTTATCACGAAATGACGGGCGAACTTCAGTCTCCTACTACGTGTGCCTCAAGGGTGAGAATAACAAAGAAGCTCTCTAATCACTCACTGAGATGTCTCAAAGATCCGTGTGAGGAACTTCTCAGAAATGAGACCTTTTCCCCTCATGGAGAAAATCACTCTTGTTATCTTCTTTGTTAGAAGACTCGTAGCAGAATGATCAATCTGGATAGCAAGCCTAGAAAGATGTACACCTTGAGGAGGGATATACCTCCTACTTATTCTGGCGGGGATGTGGTCCTCGTAACCAGAAAGGACAAAGGACAGATTCTGAGCTAAAGGAAACTTAGATTCCACATGGGTCAGAACTGGAGTAGATGTTGAAACCTAAACTAAACTCTATTTTTGGGACTGCAACAACTTTTTCCAAGTCCTTCAGGTCATCCTGCCCATTTTTGTGCAGGTAAGACCTCAAAGGGACCCAGAACGATAGGGGCTGGGACAATATTGGACACATGGTAGTAATAGTAGAATTGTGAGGAAAAGCTACTATCGCATATGAGATCCTCGAGAACATGGAAGGACTACTTGATAGTTGAAAGAAAATAGAGACACGCTACGATGCATCACTACCAAAGGCCAACCTTTTCTTCATAGAAGGTGGCACGTCGACACGGGATACCATAATAAGAACAACCTCATGTGCAAAAATCCTCTTTTTGGGAGGAGGGCATAGAGCATACTCCTTAGAAGGCATAGGATTATTAAGGGTATCCAGACTGGGTTGTTCAAATGAACTGAAGGTAATTGTGCCCTTAGGAGCAGAGAAAATGCTATGCGAAGGAAATAAAGTTCCACCTAGAAGTAGAGATCGTGATCACCTTCTCGTCAACCATTTCTATCTAGCAAGAAGAGACATCTATCAAAATTCAAGAAAAAGTTCTCAAAGAAGCAATAAAAAGTATATAATTAAGGTAAGAGTCTTTATCAGAAATAAGGTACGGGCACTTCTTCCAAGATGCTTGACAGGTGAAACCACTTGACGGGGACCAATAGTTGCATGCTCTTATTCCGTATCTTAATTATAAATCTCTTTGATATATAATTTTAGTACCATGTATGTGTATGCGGTGCTTGACCGCCTTTTTGTTTTTTTGGGATATGTTGCCGACCCAACACCACTCGACCTCTCTATTCATTTATGCTTGGCTTGTTTAATTTATTACGCAGTGTGCCTGTAATTCCCGCTTTCTTTACTTGTGTTTTGGATGTGAATCCTTCGATTTATAATTTAGGCTCTTTAAGTACCCCTAAATATAATTTTTTTACAAAAAAATCCTAATTAGAGATTAAGATTAATCAAACTTTATGATTAAAACATTATAAGATTTTCAGAATCTTCTTTTATTTTCCTGCATGTTCTAATGACCAGATTAAAAATAGCTTTGTATAGCATGAACATTACTCAAGTCATACTAATAAGATCTTCATATTAGGACTTATGTAGATAACTACATCATACTTTCATGTCCCAAGAAGATTAGAAGAGGCCCTCGTGCTTCTTCAACCTGATTGACCCAACATAGATTTATAATCAAGTGGTTTTCTAGTGCGCTAAGGGAGTTAGAGGCTTCTCTGACCCAAACAGAGAATAAGTCATTTACGAGAGCATCTCAGCTTCGTAGCCTTATCTCTCTTCTCTTTCCACTCCAGTGACTTCCTCGTCAATTTGGCAGATATAAGTCCCATATATAATTTCTACCTACAGAGGATCATAGGACGCAGAGTTTCATTCTTTTGACCTTAGGACTATTGAGGTTCACTTGGATGGCGTAATTCATAGATTGCTGACAAGGGACCCGCAGTTGTGTTGGTTGAGTACCTTCATGACTAGTAAACTTAATGTCCTAATAGTTAGGGATGATGGATCTCTGGTATCCTAACCCGACTATCTCTACCCGACTAGGATCACTCTACCCTTCCTTTGTTATACCCATTTTGAGTCCAATCGCTCCCTTTGATGCTTCATTGATGTTGTCTCACTAGGGATGATGGATCTCTGGTATCCTAACCCGACTTTCTCTACCCGACTAGGATCACTCTACCTTTCCTTTTCTATACCCATTTTGAGTCCCATTGTACCCATTTTGAGTCTTATCGCTCCCTTTGATGCTTCATTGATGTTGTCTCGCAGGCTTCGATTGTGGACAAGCCACCATCTATTTGGGATACTCTGGGATACGGTGATTCAGCCTGGTGATTCAGCCTCTACTCTTATGGATGGATTAAGCCTTGGAAGCATAATGTAAATTCTATTAGTCGACCTGGTTATTTTATAGGCTCTGTGTGCCGATGAGCCACTACTGATTTGTCATGTGAGAGATTTACTCTCTACCCTGTGACTTAGCAAGAGCTTTGAAAGTATCGAGATGGTCATGTAGAATAACCATTCTTTGTGACACCCTTTCAAAAGTCATTATATAAATGTAATCAGAACTCCTTTAATTAAGAGTATTCTTGGGTATCCCTCAAGATGTAATTAACCAAACGGGATATGTCTCTTCGAGAGTACTCTTGACCCCATAAAAAAAACACATTTGATTCTCTGGTTCGGGTAGCTTATGTAGGTATTCTTTTGCGGATATTTGGTTTAAGATGTTTCAATCCACTGATACATTATAAAAAAAAATGTCATCAATCATGAATCTCGATGCATATTAACCAGAAAGTATTCTAAATTAAAATTCAAGATCACACGAGCCCAAATTTCAACAAATTTATAATCAAATTAAGTGTTTTAACAAGACAAACCTAATGATAGTGAAAGTGATCAAATTCAAGTTTTAATCAGCATAAATAATGCACTTAAAGTATAGTCAAAGACTTTGATGAATTAATTGGAACACCTAACATTTTAATAATACGACACACTTTTAGTCAAATCATATGTCTCAATGAGAGGAATCCAACAAGCTTAAGATGGTTCAATTTTGAAGTCTTTAACGTACTTAAATGTTAAAAAATTAATGTGGTCAAGAAAATCAATGTGGATCATCTCATTGAGTATTTTTAGAGATTGACAGAACTTTTCAAAATAACACTCTAAATAATTATAGGTGAACTCACATTCATCACTTGAAGCGGGGAGGTAGATAAAAGATAATAAGTTGACTATTTTTTCTTGACCTTTGAAGTCTCGACAGTTGTAACCGATCATTGGAGATTGTCATCGACCACAGAAGTTTTCGTTGTCGATCTCTAAACTTCCCGACAGAATATTGAAGTTTGTCATCGATTACTAAAGTTCATTGCCGGCCATCAAAGGCACCATAGACCACCACCAATAATTTGCTATGACCAACTACGAGCATTGTAACAATCAACGAAAACTTATTTTGCCAACTATTGCTGTTATACCGACCAACATTATCTTGTAATTCCATCTTATTTACTACAAGAGAAGAGTAGACCTCATTACTTCTAATTTTTTTTTGTGGAATATCATTTTGACTTTGCTAGAACTCATAGTTTATTCCTTTTTCAGAATTTTTTCATATAAAAAATCTGGTTGCCTCTTACAACTAAATGATCCGTGTGCATATTGAAAATTTATACTAAACTAAGAAACAAGATTTTCACGCCCTTGAAAGTTTTCCAGCACACAACAATAACCAAATGACTTAGCGCAGGTCTCAGTGCAGTCATGCAATTACAGTTTTCAAGTTTCAGAAAGACTACTTGAAAGGCCTTCTGATTCACCTACTCTACCAAACTTCTACAACGAAGTTCCCAGACAGCAAGCAAAATATTCTTCACCTAACCCCTGAAGTAAATCAATAAATGCATAGCAATCATATCCCATGACCTAAAAAAAAAAAAATCCAAATTAAAATAATTGTTACATAACTGATTTAACCACCCATAACCTCAATAAACCTCTTAGCCACGGAACTCGCATACACCGGAGAGCCATCATAACTTGCCTGCAGCAAAAACACAGAATTATTCCCATAATTAACAAAAAATATCAAACATAAATGAATGGCAACAGCTCTGCACCTTAGCACTGATCATGAAAATATGGCAATCTCCTATGTTTCCACAAGACAAGTGCAACAGCTCAAGTTGTAACTCATCTAGAACCCGGGACACTATTAAAGAGCAGTCAACCCGCTTACGCAGCTCAAGCTTGATATAGACCTCATCTTCGATAATTCTGACGTCAATAAATGTTGATTTTGATCTCCTTTGAATCCATGAGCTCCTCATGCTTCCATTTATACCATGATCACTTTCGTCTATGATTGATTTCATAGAGGAGCTTTCCATGTCGCCATGAAACTCGTTCTCTATTTCGAGTTTAATGGTTTTGGCATTCTTGCTTCGTTTCCTCTCAAGAAGTACTTTAAGCTCATCTACAGTTCTTAGTAGTTCTTTGATGTAGTCAATGGTGTCGGAGACGATGGTGGCTCTATCGGGCTGTAAAAGTATTTCGACCAAATTAAATTTGTTTGGCTAATAGTAAAGATAAATTTTGCCTTTCGCTTATATACAGTATGAAAACTAAAACTTAAAAAAAAATGATTCACAAGAAATTGTTTGTGCACTTTTATATATATATATATATATATATATAAAGGAATTGTCGGAGGCTATTATACGAGTTTCAGTCATTCCTCATGCGCTTAGAAATTCGAGTAATGTACCCTACATTCAGGGGGAATCCAACCCAGACCAGAGGACACTTACAACTAACAAGCAGATGCTCGATCAACTGATCTAAGCATGTGACACAATTTATTTCATATATATATATATATATATATATATATATATATATATA